TTTGTGATTTTGATATATACATATATATATATATATACGTATATAGTATATATGTATATAAAACATGTTTTTTTAGAGAACAAGAGCTTAAAGAAACTTTTCGACTAGAATCCAAGTTCATGTTTAATTAAAGGAGACATATCATGCTTTTAAATGCTTCTTTTTCACATTTAAATCATTCATTTGGGTTTTATTTAAAGTAAAGCAGCAATTCTTTAATCTGAGTTCCTCATTATTGTAACTCCACAAACCCCTCTCTTCTGAGGTGTGAGGCTGCCTCTTTAAATCCAAACACCACGCCCCCCTCCAGCTTCCAGACCGATCCACTCCAGTCTGACAGAGGGGTTTATGATTATATAGTGGTGCAGAAACATTTTAATAACAAATTAAAACATCACCTGTCCATTCAGCCTTCCATGTTGGAGCCAGAGACAGAGGACAATGAAGACGACCAAACTGCAGTTGGGAAGTGCAGACCTTATTTGACTCTCATGTTGCAATAAATTAGGCGTACGGTTCAGAAAACATCATGGGAAATAGAGAAAACTGCACAGGTTGAGATATATGACCCAAACAATATATAAAGTTATTTACAAGAAGAGACTAAATTCTACACACAACAGATGCAACAAAATGTATTCAGCAACTAAAAATGTGGATTTTGCATGATATGTGCCCAGAGTTGACCTCTTTCTCTCAGGGTGAACACGTCTGTTCACTAACAACACTCTGAACTGGTAGGAGGCTGGGGGGGAGGTGCAGGAGGAGGGGATGGGGGGATGTATTGGTTTTGGCGCCCCCTGGTGGTCACATGTGAACACACATGGTGCTGCTGCTTGGTGAGGACAGCTTCCTGCAGTGTCTCACCACGCATCAAACACAACCTGCCCTGCACCGCTCTGATTGGATCAAACTTCTGCTTCAGTTGATTTGTTGAAAACAGTTTGATTCTGATTGGACAGTTTAAACGAGTCCACAACTAAAACAGGTTTGTTTTTCTTTTTCATATTTACAGATGATGTTCATCTGCTGAAGATCAGAATGATGGATGGAAACAGAACTACCCTCCTTATGGAGTGTCAAATTATTCTGCAATAAAAATGTAGTTTTTCAAAACGTACACTTTTAACAAATAAACAAATAAATAAATCTTTCACAGTAATGTCAGAACTGGGCCAACTGGAACAGCATTTTGTTTCCTGCATTAGGGACGACTTGCCCGGGGTGGTCAGTGACCTGATCAGCAGGTCTGTTCAGCACAATGAGTCTGAGCTTCATGTTTAACATGAAACATTACCAGAGAGTTTAAAACTGTTTTATTAAAGCACATATCTTTATGATACACTTGTAACAATTCTGTCTGTTTTCTCCAGCAGTTGGTTCAGCACAGACTTGTGTTTGCTGTTTGTTTTGTTGGCCTGAAGGATTAAAAAGTTGTGGTCTTGTTGCTCAGATTACACTCTTCCATTTGCAGGATTACTCAGATTAAAAGCAGCTGTCCAGTACCTGCAGGAAGAAGAGTTTCTGTGTGATCTCCTGGATCAGCTCCTCAGAAACATCCTCTGGAAAGAACTTCGCTCTGAACTTGAACTGAAGAGGATTCTCCTTCTTCACATCCTGCTGAGTCACCTGTAGGAAATAAAATGCTTCACATTAACACAACGTGCAGCTTTGTTTTCAAATCTAAAACTAAACCCACAGACGATAATTAGCTTTAGAAACATCAGACATTCATTTATTCATCACTCGTTTATTTGAAGTAAATCTAAAAGACAGACTGAAGATAAGATAATGAGGTAATTTAGGGTCTCCAGCCCCCTGTTGACCAACATCTTGTGATTTATAAAGACATCATTTGTTTTTTTACCTTCTTGTTGAGTTTGAGCCAGGTCACGTAACCTTTGCTGTCTGTGTACTGCAGCCCAAAGAACCAGACCTCCCTCAGACCCACAGTCTTCACCACCTGAAGGGACAAAAACACGGTTTCTGTTTGCAGGAAACTGCACCGACACGAGCTGAAAAACTGTTCAGGAGCAGAGAACAAGTTCTGATGAATTTATCATTTTTTTCAAATTCACAAACTTTCAAGGATTTGAAGGACTCATGGGAACCCTGTACAGTAGAACCCCCTGCTGAAGCGGANTATATATATATAGCATATTTTGTCTGCTGATGTATCATGTTTTCTCTTCAAAGTTTGATTTTCAGACAACTGCACACTGACCAGCCAGAAACACCCACTAAAGTGGTTCAGTGTGTTGTACTAGTTTCATGAAGTTTTCTTTCAAACTAATACAACATATTTAATTCCACTGAGTTTTAAATGTAAAGCTCTACAGAAACTCTGTTAAATAATAATAACTCTTCCATGTGTCCACAGCTGTCCCACCTGAGCATGCCTCTGTGCTCCTCATGCCAGCTCTGTATCCTGTCCTCCCACTGCTCCTTGGTCAGCTTGTGCTGCTCCAGCACCCTGCAGGACACACAGGACCCATCATGGCTCATTTATAGAAATAATAACCTGTACCAGCCCTCATTCTGTTTGTTAGAGAGGACGATTGTTTAAACAGACTGACACAGAGCTAACAGTAGTGATATTTAACCATCCTGATGGTGTCACAATGTAAACAGTACAACAACCTGTGTGTGTCTGCTGTACCTCTGTGGGAGCAGCCGGTCGTTTGTCAGGTAACCAGGTTTGTGAATGTCTTTGCTGTAATCTCCATACTTGGCTTGGACAGCGTAGGAAGCTAACAACACAGCTGTTTCTGGAGGACAGTAGTTCTCATCGTTCAGAATGGCTTCTTTCACCTGCACAAACAAATAATAATAATAATAATATTGTAGCGGTTTCCTACTTCAATTTCTGATTTCTGATGGACACAACTTGTTATGACTGTTTGGTGAAGAAAATAAGATATATTCATTTCAGACTTCTGTTAAGGAACTTGCATGATCCTTGTGCTTGTGATTAGCATACCGTCACCAAGGCGCCTCAGAAGAACATGAAAGAGTTGCATTCACACCTTCCAYCCAACCCCCAGAAGGACAAGCTATTTACTTTTCTTCAAAGAAAAGAGGGTAGGGTCATAACAGGCCTTTAAGAACCTTCCAGCAGGACCGAGAACAAAGGATCCCACACCTTAAGTAAATAAAGAGGGAAGATTGACTACTCTGTTCTTTTTTTTAACTGTTTGCCCACTAAGAAGAGTGTCAAACTGTGTGTTTATTGATGAAATGTTTTTCTGAAAAAGATGTTTCTTTAAACTGTGTGATTTCATGAATTAATCTTAGGAAACCTTAGATTTGAATTTAACTAGATAGACATTCTTAGTTGAACTGATGTGAAGCAGATGTCTTCCCCCTTTAATTAGATGCAAGATGATTAGACTAAAAACACTCCCATCCTTTGTCTGAAAAATCTTGTTTCTCCCTCCAAACATTTTGATTGGTCAAAAACTTTACCAGAGTTTTCAATCGGTTGGCTGGAAACCTTGACTCCGCCCATGACAGAGGTTTTAAAAGTTAACGCACAAGATGAAGCCATAGGTTTTTGAGTTTTTAGAGAGGAGTCACAACAGAAGAAGGAAGCAGAACGCAGACAGAGAAGCAGCCTCCCCTCTTGCTAGAGGGGGGGAAAGGTGTCAATCAACCCCTCCGTCATTTTAACTCGTATAGGCCGACCATCGACTCAGCCCTTGAGTATTGATTTTAAAGGAGTCAAATAAATAAGCTAATGGTAATTCAACCGTCGCTTTTAGTCCGTTTTTCTACAAAGTGAGGATCAAACTTGAGTCTTGAAGCCACTTGTGGAAAAGCCAGACCCAGGTCACCAGAGAGAGAGAATCCTTTCTGACTGAAGGACCAGCAGATGAACCGACGCCCTGAGTGTCTGAACGGCCCAAACTGAAGCAGTTCTCTGGGAAACATCACCTGAGAGCTCTTGGTCAGCCGACGCTTCCTCCTGGTACCAACATCAGCAGAATACAAGAAA